GCCGGCCGAGGCCCGGGGTGCTGCCTGGTCGGCAGTGTCACACTGGACGCGCTGGCGACACCCGCCCCGATGGAAAGTTTGTGGCCCTGGGCGGCCGGGAGACTCTCCCCCTCCGTTCCTGAGGATAGTCACACTGGCCGAGCCGTTGGCGAAGCAGCTTGCTCAGATTCAGCTCGGCACGGCCTGGCCTTTTTTGTTGTTTGCTTTTTCCAGGTACAGTATGTGTGTATTATGATCCGCGGCTCTCCCCAGTTTGAAACGTGCTTCGGCTTGCCGGAAGCCGCCCTTGGGAGCGCGGAGGAACAATTTTTTGACTGTACAAAGTGCCGCATCCGTCCGGAGCGCCCAGACTGCGTTATACGTGCACCAGCGTCCTGTATTTTGTTTGCACTAAAGTGACTAGATGTGTTAATTTTCTGATCTGTGTTAACAGAGCCGTTCGTTTCTTAGTCTCGTGACGATCTCTCCTTTTCCGGTTCGACCCCCGAGTGGTGGACTTTAGGAACCAGTTTGCTATTAACTCCGCCCTCCGCCCCGGTCTGCATCTGTCTTACCTTCACATAAGTAACCTTACTGAACATTTGCAGAATTCTGTCTTCTTAGAAACCTTCAGATTGACCCCGCCTGATAATTTCAGTCCAGCCTTGTTAGCAGGGTAGATATGTGGGCTTCCTAATGTTGTGGCTTCCGTTAACCCCCAGGCCTTTCCGCAGCTGTTACCTTGTGCATATTCCGTACTTTTTAAAGCGCGCTTCAGTCGGGCGTGGTCAGCGATCCCCACACTCGGGGACGATAGGCTCTCGCGGCCTGGGCCGTTGAGCGATTTAGCGAGACCCTGGCTGGACTGGGTCAGCGCTAATTAATTAGCTCAGCGCTAATTGCCCCTGTCCCCTCCGCATCCTGGAAGAAGTGCTGCAAGTACTCTGTGATGTGCCATGTGCTCTCCTCAGTCTCCCCGAGACAAAGACTTCCTTGAAAGGGGAACTCAGCTTGAAGCCTGTGGTCAGGACTCTTCCCACTTTCAGGGACCGGCACATACCGACTCTTTGGGGGAGCCCTCCCTGAACTTTCCTGGTTAAAAGTGATTTCTCTTTCCTCTGAATAGTGTGGCTTTTCATGTATTCACATTGTTGCGTATTACCTTGTTTAGCCTTCTTATTTTCATTTTCGTTTTCTTTTCTTTTTTTTTTTTTCGGTGAGTACCAGAGGATGGACATTTCACACAGCAAGAACTTTCAGAGAGCTAGAGTCGTCCAGGATGTAGTAATTGGTGTGGAGAAATAATTAGAAATACTCGGGAGCAAGTTGAAGAATTGGCCATCTATGAGAAGGTTTTAAATTACGCAGTAAGAGTCTGTGGTCTGAATTTTCTCACGTCAGGGGTGGAAGCAGGTAGAGCAGGTGCGTTTCCTGTGCGTGGATGAGGAAACCCTTGAGGAGGAAGTGCCGGTTTAACTTCCGGTTTAACGTCCCAGCGCTGCAAGCTAGCTCCAGGTAGAACTAAAATGAGAGTCCACCCTTCTGTGTCTTAGGGGTGCTCTTAGCAGTCCTTGTTTGGTGGTTGTGTTCTCTTTTAGCCTGTTTAATTTGTCAGTGCACTTGCATGGTTAGTTGGGTAGAATACAGATACAGGGCTTTGACCTTCATGCCTGGCTTTCCCTTCCCCCCTGTTGGGAGTTTTTTGAATTTCTGTCTGTTGACACTTACATTCTGCTGCTTTGGGTTCTGTAACATGTGCATGTGTTTTACCTGCTACCACTAGCTTTTGAGTGTCCTGAGAATGTGGTTCTATCTTACTCATCTTTGTCTCTCCTGTAGGGTACAGACTTTGCCTGTTCTTGGTCTTTATTAAGTTATTTTCTCTGAGAAAAATAGAATTATTTGCATCTCGTTTCTCTCAGTTATTACATGCCTGTGTGGAAAACCGGCTGTTAAAGGAATCAGTGGAAGAGAACCTCCTTATTTTTGATGATACCTGTCCGGTCGTCCGCCTGGTCGCTTGACCTCGCCCCCCTCGATAAAGGAGCCCCTGGATGAAATGAAGAACAGCGAGGCCTTTAACGAGGCTGCCTGACCTGTGATTCACTAACCGGCTCGTGGATTGGTGTTGGTTTAGAAAATTTAGTTTCAGCTGATTATGTAGTTAATTCTGGGGCTCTTTTTTAATTCTGTAAAATTTTAAAAAATGAGAAAGCGTTTGTGCTGGAGTAATAAATGTCCTGTGATAACCAGTGTGTAGTGCAGATCAGGCCAGAGTGTATGAGAGATCACCTACCGGATAGAAGCCGGGGTCCCGGGACAGGAGTGGTGGGGAGGGGGCTGCCTGTTCGCTTCCCTCTGTGCACCCTGCCTCTCCCGGCCTGCAGACACCCCGCGTGTCCCCCCCGGCTCAGCTGAGCCCACTCCACACGTCCACTTCAGAAGCTGAACTAAGGTGCCGAGTCACTGACTTTGTTCTTAGTGTTCATCGTGCTCGTGTAACTCAGCAGTTACAATGGGCTCAATGTGTGTTGAAAGCAATCGTTATTTCAGGGTTAAGGAACTGCATGTGAGAGTGAGGTGGATGCGTGTGTGACTTGCCAAGTGTTTCACTGGTTTCATACTATGATTTTTTTTCTTGTGGTACTGAGGATGGAATCCTGAGGTAGCCAGGCTATATTCTTGTCTCTCTATTTTGAGACAGACTGTCCTTAAGCTGCTCAGGTTGGCCTCAGACTTGCAATCCCCTGCCTCAAGCTCTTGAAGAACTGGAATGAAAGGTGTGTGCCATAGCCCAGCTCTTGGGTTGCAGTGTTTTAAGACAGAAATAGTGGAATGTGCAACTGTTCATGGTGGCTGTAGCTCTTCATAACCCTAAGGAAGCTAGGAAAATTCTGGCCATGCAAAGTAAAGGCCATGGTGGTAGAGTCTGTGCAGTGACAGCCTTTAAGTGATCTTAAGGCTCCTTATCATTAAAACTAGGGGTACAAAGAGAACAGGTGCATAGAGTATAAGGTGGTTTTTTTGTTTAATATTTTCATACCCTCCTGGTGGTTCTTTCGAATTAGAAATTTATGCCAGTGTCTCATGCTACACAGAATATCATTGTGTTAGTTGTATTTTCATATAGCGTTTTAATACAACCCATACTTTTCACTTTACCTACAGTGGTGCAGCATGTTTTAAGATCTTTTAAAAGGGTGGAGGGTTTCAGTTGAACTCCTTGATGCTGCTGTGCAGCCTCAGGTGGAAGATGATTTGGAACAAGTAGTTGTGTCTCCTAGAGGCGCTTTAGGGGGACGTGGCTGGACTCTACAGTGCTTTCTACATTGGGAATGTGTTTTCTGTGTAGTTGGATTAAAAAAAGTTGGATGAATTCACTGAACTTTTTCAAATGACAAATAAACCCCAGTTTACAAACCTATAAAACAGTGCTGGTGATCTCTTGGATCCTTCCTTTATGCGCTTTATGTTTCGTGACATACTTATTACTATTTTTCTTTTCTTATTCCTTCCTCAGGCAGAGTATGCGAGAAGCATAGTTCTTTTTAGTTAACAGAGCAGCTGGATTTAATAACAGGTACAATGTACTGCATGTTCTGGAAGTTCAAAGAACTCTTCTGGTTGCCTGGCAGTATTGATAAAGCCAGAAGATCCTATTACCTGACACAGTGCAGATTCTGCTCTCATATTTTTATGCTGCTGTTCCTTGTCATTTCTTTTACTTACTGTCTTTCAACTATGACAGTGTCTTCCGCAGAATCTTGTAGGCAGCGAGTTTGAGGCCATCCTGACATAGTGTGATCCTGTCTCAAAAAAACTACAGCATGTTAACATTCCTAAAAATAAAACTGGTAAACTTTCAGTAAAAGTGTATTTGATAAGAAATGTAATTGTTAAATATATATTTTTAAATACAAATTAACAAGTAGCATTAATAAAACTATGGTATGATTTTTAAAAACAATAAATTATCCACAAATGAAAATGTATACTAGTGAAAATTTTGTATTAGATGTTACTTGTTTAATTTTGATGCGGTCTGTTGAAGTCAGGTTTGTAGTGTCATTGTCTAAGTTACACACATTTATAACCTCTGAAAACACTTTCCCTGGCCTGTGTCAGTAGTGTCCAGATAGTCCTGGAGTCCTGAGCATTTTCCTCCGATGCCTTTGTCTTCAAATGCTTTCACCTTTTGTTTGGTAAACTTTTTCTGTTGAGCAACCTTTTTTTCTTTGCTTTATCTTTTTGTTTTCTACTAGGCACATAAGTACATGTTGGTCATCCCCACACAGGCCCATCGTGTAGTCAGAGTACCTAGCATGCCCACCGTCTCTTTGTGTTGGGAGCATTCAGAATCTTCTAGCTGTTTTGAAATGCACGTTAAATCATGTTAGTCGAAGCCACCCTCCTCGTCATGGAACTTTTTCCTCCTACCTGACACTGTCGCTTTTTTTTCAATCTTTTTATGGTCGTGTTTGTGGTACACAGGGGTCGCATTCCTCATGGGGAGTTGGTGCAGCACATGACACACCCGAATCTTTGACCCTCTCCCCGACCCCTTCCTGTTTGCAAAACATCTGTCCTCCCATAACTAGTATCTTTTATTTTGCTCTTCCTGCTTTGAGTTTCTCGTATAAGAGAAACCGTGCGGTATTTAGGCTTGTGGGTCTCATTTATTTCACTTAACAGTGTGGTTTCCGCATCCATTTTCCTGCAGCGAGTCAAGTGTGTCCTTCAGTCGTCTTCTTGGAAGCAGCTCTAGACTGTGCTTCGGAGCAGGTGTGTCCTCTAATTTCATTGTGCAGGTATCGGTGTCGTCGCTGAATTTGTATTCATTTGAACTCCAGAGCCAGAGTAGGAATTTTGTTTTCTTTGTTGTCATTTTCTTTTTTCTCTGGGGTTCATGAAAGTGTGAAAGAATACTTACTTTCTAAATGAGGATACATACACTATATAAAAATACAACATTAATGTATCAATTATATTAATAAGTAATATAGTTACTACATATTATAAAGTCAAATGTTATACATTGATATATTGGTTATAATATAATGTATATAAAATACATATACACATAATTATATCCCACGCATACATATAATTTTCTAGTTTGGATTAAGATTTTATCTCAGTAGAGAAAGGTTTTCTTTTTCAACTGTAAATTGTTCATCCTGTTCTCAAGGTGTTACTTGTGTTTCAGACATTCGGATACTGAAGCAGTGGTGTTAGCACCGAGGGATGCTCCTGTCTTTCCTCCTGCGGCACAAACGCTGTAACTGAGGGGTGGGTGGCGGCGTTGGAACTGCGCTGCTTGTGTGCATCTGGGTGCTCGCTTCTGTGCTCGTCCTTTCTGCCTGCCTTCTGGACAGAGCTGTCCTTCCCGTGCCCGTGCTCCTATTTCCCTCGGGCCTCTCTCCTCCAGTGTGTCTGTTCTCTCCCTTTCTGTTTCCTTCTTACCTGTGTACACACGTTCCCAGGCTTCCCCTGTTTCGGGGGAAAGAGTCGTTCACGGAATCCTACTTGACTGCAGTACTTTCTGTTCTTCAATTTTAAGCCAGACTTACGAGGGATTAGCTGGTTTTGCACTTCGCTTTAATCTCACTATCTGGCTTCACTCCCTGACTTTCTGTTGAATTTGCATTTTAAAGAATACCTGTGATCTAGAAACTTGCTAAGTCCAGAGACCCTTTCGTAGTTTTCATTTGATACCGTTAACTCTCCAGTTAGAAAATTTTAGTCATACACTCTCTTGGCTGTGTGGACTTGGCAAAATTATTGAAGACTGTTTGGCCTCAGTGTCCTTCCTTGTGAGAGATTGGCATGGCAACACTGAAGTTTTCTGAGTATGGAATGACACCATGTGTATATGTGTATAAACACTTGTACTGAGGTAGTAGCTCAGTAAATTGTAGTTGCCCCTACTGCTGGGTACCCTAAGTAATGTACCTCCTAGCTCTCTTACAGTTTTTATTTGTTTCTCTTCTTCCTTTCTTAAATAGCTTCTCTTAAGTGTTTTGTTTTGTTTTTTATTGAGTATATTGTAAGGATCTGACAGTTGTGAGGACTGACCAGGCAAGTTAGTTACCTATAGGGTAGGCCATTCTTTTTTTTTTTTGTCTTCTTGGGACAGGGTCTCACTATGCAGTTCAGGCTGGCCTTGAGCTCACTTTGTAGCCCAGGCTGGCATCGAACTTGCAGGGATCCTCCCCCTGCCTCAGCCTCCCAGTGCTGGGATTGCAGGCGTGTGCCACCGTACCCTGTTAGGGTAGCCCATTCTTCTTTGGCAAAGTACGGTTATTTCTCTCAGGCATGGCCCTGAGCCGATTTAACAGCTTTACTTCGTGCTTTGCAGAGAAACCTCAGCTTTCATCGTAAAGCCTTTGAGATGACTGAATGCGATCCATTCCATTCACCGAACTCCAGCAGTTCCCCCTAATTGAATCCCATTGATTATGGACTATAATCACATCTCAAAAATACCTGCGGTGCCACACTTCGGGTCTGATTGCGTATCTGGGGACTGCAGCTTAGCCAAGATGATACATGAAACTGACCATCTAACACTAGCGGAGTACTGGGCACACGCTAGCCCCAAAGCTGCAGGTCAGTTCTACTGGAGAGGAAAATGTCTTCAGTAAACAGAAACAGTCTAGACACTACGATGCGTGCTGTTTTCCTAGTTTGTTAAATTCTACAAACAACATTTTATTTGTGAGGTGTTCTGAAGCATCCTCACCAAGATGCTCAGTGATTAGTTTCTGTTATGCCATGCCACCCCCACCCGCGTCCCCAGGTCACGGGGTCCTGCCGGACCAGTCGGGTGCCCAGGCTGGGCTTGAGCTTGCCGTCCTCCTGTCACTCTCCCAGGGTAGGATTATCGTCGTGCGCGACCGCTCCTGGCCGGGGCTGCTTTCTTGTTCAGACCTTTTAGTACTAATGTACTTCTCTCCCCCCTGTTCATGTATTATTTGTATAAGATGGGTGTATGTGTTTATTTAAACGTTAAAAATATCCATTAGGTCCATATATAGTTAGGATTACAGAGACACAGTTACTTAAACATTTTTCTTTAGATTTGGCATACGGTATGTAGTAAGGCGTGAAGTCTGCAGGTGATTCGGAGAAGAGACAGATTCCGGATATGGTGAGACTGGGATTCCCGCATTTGAAATAGAAGGCACTGTGGTTTGGGACCCAGATGTCTGAGGGACTGTCGTATCGGGGTGGTAGACAGCAGCAGCGTGGGACAGCACCCCCCTCTCGGGAACGCAGAGGAGCCGTGTAACTGTAACACCGCCTCCAAAGGGTCAGAGTAACAGTACGGGTACCGGGAGTACGAGATGAACAGGCGAGTCCACCGTGACAGGTGAGAGCGGAGTGAAAAGGCCGGAACGAGCGCGGAGTGAGAGGTTTGGCGCCCGGGCTGAGGGGCAGGCGGGTTGGGAGACAGCGCGAGCGCTGAGGGGACTGTGTGACTCTGAGTGCGATCCGCTGCTGCTGAGCTGAGGAGCAGCCCGTGTCTCCCTGCTGGGACCACCCGAGGACATAGGTAGCTCGGGAGGGTGCTGCAGGTCCTGCTTTCCTGGTGAGCAGCTTTGCGGCTTCATCTCCGCGGCTCGTGTTTGAGTTGTGTCCTCACCTTCGGGAGCGCTCTCTCCTCGCAGGGACGCGGCAGATTCAGGCTGCAGCAGCCGGACACGCCTCGAGACTGTCCTGTCGCGCCCTTCACTACCGCTTCTGGTCACCTCTTGCTGCGCTTCTTTGGGTGCTTTTGTTACCCCAAAGGAGCTTGTTTTGTTTTTATTCCTCTTCCACGTACTTTATTTTTATTTTTATTTTTTTTTTGTTTTTTCTCCGGTACCGGGAACCGAACTCACGACCTTGCGCTTGTTCCACGTACTTTAAAAGTAGTACTGCTTCACCAGTTTGGGGAGAAGCCTCACTGTCATCCTTGATTGCCGCCACTCCCTTTTCAAGGCCTGTTGGTTTTCTTCTTTCCGTCAGGCGCAGACGTTTTTCTTCTCTGATTGCTGAGCGTTGGTCTTGCGTTACTGACCTGAGCAGTCCAGTAGCGGGTGTTTACCTTTCTCGGCCCTGTTCCTGATGGCAGTGCCTTCATCCTGTTTATGCCTCGAGCTCAGAAACCGTGCGGGCTTCTCCCTTGTCTCCGAGCTAGTCTGTAAATGCTTAGGAGTTTCATGCTGGGCCCGGTTCATCTTGTCCCGCCAGGCAGCCAGCGTCTGCTCCCTGGTCTCAGAACGTGCCTGGGGAGGCAGTTGAGGAAAGGAAGTGAGTGCGTGTCCGCCGCTTAGTGTCACCTTGCTGAGTCCCACCTCACCGAGACTGCGGAGCGGTGGGTCTGCTCCTGGGACCTGCCTGAGGCCGGCCAGAACCCACGGCTGGAGTAAAAGGCTGGGTTAGAGGTTTTTGGAGTGGTGCGCCACAGCTGCCTGTGACTGCACGCGTGGCAAACGCATGCCCCAAGGTACAGGAGCGCGCAGAGTGAGAGTGGTTTTCCACCTCTGCCTGCGTGGTTCCGGGGTCAGCAGACTACCTATTCACTGACCGCCTGTGGGGGGGGGACTAGGGATGGAAGTCGGTGATCTCCTGAGCGACAGCCCAGCCCTTTTCATTTTCTGTTTGAAGAAGGGTTGAAGGGAGGGGAGGGGAATGGGGAAAAAGAAGAATCAAGATGTATTATGTGCATGTGTGAATTCCCTGTGATGAATGTGTATATTAAAAGTACACCAGTAAAATTAATTAAAAAACAAACAGCAGAGCCCCTAGGCCTCCTTTCAAGGAGATGATAAATGTGTAAGAAGCTAGAAATGTTAACTACACTGTTAACATCACTATGTTAACATCACTGTGTACATGTACTAAGTTGTCGTGCTGTATCTCATACACACACACACACACACACACACACACACATAGTAATTTGTATCACTTAAACTTCAAAAAGAAGAAAAAAGGATAGGGTCTAAGTTGCTCAAGATGGCCCCAAACTTTCGGTTCTCCTTCCTCAGCCTGCTGAGTAGCTGCAGTTACGGGCCTGTGCCACCACACCCAGCTCCATTTTTTGTAGTTTCCTTGGAGCAGAGCCATCCTTATTTAAATATTACCTAAAGCTGAGCCCGCGTACAGCAGCAGAGTTGGGTGATTACCACAGAAAGTGCACGGCCCCTGAAGCTGCCGATGTTATGTAAGAAAACGTCCGCCGACTCCTGTGCTTGTCGTTTTATTCCCTCCTTGGAAGTGTCCGTTGTTACTTGTCTCTTGAATTCGCAGTTTTGCCTTTACAGGGCTGCGCGTTCTGTATTATACCGACCTGCCCCCCTGCCTAAATACATATGATTGCATGTACATTTTTAACTTAAAATGTCTTACTGATTTTTTATATTAGTATATGTAGAACATTTTTATTTTAGCCCATAATATTTAATAATTTTATCCATTATTATAATTTTGCAGTACCAGGGATTAAACGCAGGAACCTTCACACTGAGCTGCATCCCAGACCATTTTTAATTTTGAAACAAGATGTTGCTAAATTGCCCAGGCGGGGCTTGAACTTGCAGTGCTGCCTCAGTCTCCTGAAGGGCTGGATTCAAGGTGTGTGTCCTCACGCTGGGATGTATTAAGCTTGAAATAGTGTAGTAACTTTTGCATGTGAGTGTATAGAGCACATTCTTACTCCTTTAGCTCCACAGTACTTTATTATATGAGTTTGTCATTGAATAGTTCCCTATGGATGGTCACTTTTATCTTGTGTCTTACAAATGGGAGCCTTTCATTTATACAGAACCATCAGCTCCTGGGTGTTAGCCCTACATACTTGGTTCAGGTCATGTGTCTGTTCTGACTGACTGCCCACAGTATGCTTTCACTTTTATTTTAGAAGGGGTAGGATCAGCCAGGGCTGGAGTTACTGGGTTAGGCCTGGCTCGAGATCCTCCTTGAGTTAGATCTTGAGGAATCTGGATGAACGAGGGGAATTACGGAAAGGAGAAAAGGAGTAGTCTGGGTGACTGTGGCTTGTGGTTAACAGAAATAGCGGGCGCTCGGATGGTGCCACCCGCCTGTACCCGTGAACCGAGTGTGGGAGTGGGCACACACTGAGACTCGGAGACGGTATGAGAAACAGAATGTAAGCTGTTTCATTAGTGGTTTTTAATAGCATTCTCCTATAATTTAAATAGTAATGTTTTGGGTGTGTTGGGTTTAAAGTATTATTTAAAAATACTTGTTTTTCCTTTTTTGCGGTAGTGGGGATTGCGTCCGGGGCTGTGCACATAGTAGGCAGGTGTTCTACCGCTGAGCTGTATCCCCAGCCCCAACACCCCTTCACCCTTTTAAATTTTGATGGAGGGTCTTACCGGATCCTCCTGCCTCCGCCTCTCCGTGCTGGAGCTGCAGTTGTGTCACCACACCCGGATGTTCCTACTTTCCTAGACATGGCTGTCAGAAAGTGTAAAGACCTGTTACATGGCCTGTTTTTGTGACTTGCTGTGTTTTCTGTTAAGCAGTGCTGCTCCGGCTCATCTGTGAAGATGGTGTATGAGGTTCATTTTGGGAACTTGCATATAATTAGGTGGGAACTTGTGTGTAATTATGTGGGCTAGTTAATCAGAAGTAAGTATTTAGATTTCTATTCTAGATGAAAAAAAAGATCCTTGCAGTCTCTTAAGCAGTGATGTGATGGTTAACTGTAGGAAGATCAGTAAGCTGGTTGTGTGCCGTGCTACAAGAACTGAGCGCTTACTGTGTCCCAGAGACCGCCTAAGGCCTTTCGTCCAGCAACCCTAAGAAGCAGGGCTGTCTCATTTTACACGCGAACTTCCCGCAGAGACGATCCCAGAGTAACTGGTAATTCCTTGGGTGGGAACCGGGCAGTCGGATTCCCGAGTCTGACGTGAACCGCACGGCTTTGCCGCTGTGCGGCTGGAGTGGACAGAGGCAGTTCTCGCAGTGTGGGCGGTACATGAGTGGTGATTATTTTCTGCCTGACGTACATGTTTGGACAGGGCCTTAGTTCATGTATCTCACTGCCGTGTGGTCGAGCCACCAGTCCTATATGCGTGACTGTCCCATTGGATGGCTTTTTATTATTTTTTATTAGTAAAACCACCAATAAATGTGATAAGATCTGTTCGTACCACCAGCGGTACAAACTCCCCAGTGGGACAGACATGCATGTATCCCAGAGGTTGGGGCCGGCGAGCATGTTAATATTTTAGGTGTTATAAAATCTGTCATCACAGTACCCTGGTACTTTTTTCTTCAGTTCTTATCACGTGGTCAGTTAAGAGTTTTGCTCTCCAGGCCTGACTATGAATTGGATTTTCTTGTGTTCTCAATATAGGAGGACTTGATGTAGTTTTTCGTGGTGTTTCTCAAACTCATAAGGCAAGTTTTACTTTATCTTCTGTGTTTGACAAGGAAACAGTAATGTGGCCAAAGTTGTATGATTAGAAGTTCTAAAATCTTGAAAATATGTAGTTTTGATCTCTGTTGTGGTTTGATTTAAAGAATAAACATGTACTTGTTGAGCTTGGAGCCAACTGATCGTAAGTGGTTGTATTCAGCCCTAAAATTACTCGCGGGTTTAGATCCCGAATCTTACCGGTGAGTTCCTTGTGAAAGTGGAGCAGGAGCTGAAGTAGCCCAGCCGAACACGTGCGTCTCCAGGCTGCTTCGTGCCTAGAGGCCCCAGGAAGAGAAGGGCGTGGGGCGCGAAGACCACCAGCGTGGGCAGAACCGGGGTGGCGAAGGGAGGCCGGGGCCCTTTGCAAAGCCGGGAGTGGCCGCCGGGTGTCTCGGCTGTGAGGTTTCCCCCCAGCTCCGAGGCCTCGCCTGCGCTGTGTGAATTCTCCTGATCGCCGCCCTGTGTTCTGCAGTCCTTCAAGTGCTGAAGAAGGATCTCCCTGCAGTGTGCATTTGGGGTTTTACTTTCCTCCCCGACGTCTCTGTCTGGGCCTCTGTAACACCTGTCCTTTTCAGCCCTGTCCAGAGTGAAGTGGCTGGTGTTGGTAGGCATCTTCGCGTTTATCTCCTAGGCGTCTAGAGTTACAGGCCTTAATTAAAGACAAGTTCCTAGCCAGTGGTTTTTCCTGGGAACTGGTAACGTCTCCTGGGTGATTGCTGTCTGCGGGCGGGCGGTGCGGTGACTGCTTAGTGACACTGCTGCCCACCACATGCTGTCAGCTTGCCCTCAGTTGTGACAGCTGGGAACGTGCCAGACGTCACCGTGCTCCCGCCGCGTGACAGGTGACAGGCACCGTGCGTGAGAGCAGCGTGTGGCCCGTTTCCTGCGGGCCTTGACAAAGGCGCTTTGCCTTCTCGCGCCCCCCTTCAGGGGCTGTCTTCGGTCTGGTCCCGGGGGCCTTACACAGTGAGTGGACTCCCGCAGACGTCCCGGTTCCCGACCGAGATGCCCCTCTTCCCCGGTCTCACGTGGTTGTTCAGGGCCAGAACCAGCACGCTTTGATTAAGGAGCCGCGCAGGGTCAGTATCTCAGGTCTCGCCGGGCACTGCCGCGCTGGCGGCGCGCGCGGTCTGCTGTGTGACCCTCCTCTTAACGCCTGCCCTTGCCTTCCCCTCCCGTCGGGGGTCTCGCCCCGCCTTGCTCTCCTTCGGAGGTTCTAGGGGGAGCGCAGCTGCTCGTCTACCCCTGACCGAGGACCGGGCCTCCTCTGTCGGGGGTGGTCGTCCTCCACCGGGCGCGCACCTGCGGGAGACGCACATGGAGCGCCCTCACCTCCCGGCCCCTTTCTCTTACAGCCTTTTAAAAACGTTGCCCGTTCGCCCGGACAGGCGGGAACTGGCCTCTGGCGGCAGGGCCTCCTTCCCGGGCCCGGGGGCCGCGCCCTGGCTCTGCTCACTGCGGCTTTGTCAGTCCCATCTCGGAGCCGCAGGAGGTTCTGGGTTGTCTTCTTATTAGGACTCATCGCCTTCTAGGATATTTTTATTTTTTCTTCTAGGATATTTTTAAACTTCATTATATTACCACCTGGACATCCAGTTATATTAAATCTTACCCTAGCTGGAGCTAAGTCTTGGTAGCCTGCGAGAGCTGGCTTAATGAGATTTTTCTCAGCTTCAGGTCACTTGAATATTTGATAAATCCTGGGTCTTCCACCCATTACTAATAAAAATTTGGATGAAACATAGTAAAAAAAAAAAAAAAA